TACTGGATGTCAAAGTATGAAGAAGACTTGGAAATGAAGACCACTGAAGTACAAGAGACTAAGTCAGCCAAAGCAGCAGGACTACAGAAACTGGACGAACTATCACAAACTGTAAATAAAATAAGATAAATATGTAATTTTGTAAATATTAGCATTTACTGTATTTGTGTTAATTAACTTAAATGTACACAATACTGTTAATTGTGTGTACATGTACATGTAAAATTTTGGATTTTAAGTTGATGAATTTATTGCTAATATACATGTACATGTACCATTGAGCATGCACATAGTGGTTCGTAATGCTAAAGTTCTCCCTCCCCAACTACAGTACACGTACATGCATAATGTATACAGCAGTAATTGATTAATATTATTTTTCCATTAATTGTGTGTGTGTGTGTGTGTACAGTATAAGGAGAGGGAGGAGGTTGTGATTGAGCACAGAGCAATGAAGGAGAGACAAAGACTTAAAGAAGAACAAGAGAAGAAAGAGCAAATGACAGCAACCAAAGTAAAACAATAAAATTATAATGTGTATACATGTACAATTTTATTACTAAAATACCGTAGGTCGGGATATATTCGCGGCTGCAATTATTCGCGGTCATAAAAAATTCAATTAAAAACCATGGAAACTGTTAGAGCGTTGCTATGACAATTAAGACCACGTGTTTAGTGTTCAGCTATTCATCTGTTCTTTAGCAGCTATAGTGGAGCCATTCACCAATAGCGAGTCTTTCTCTATCTGTTAACTTCTTGTATGGACCGCTACCTCAGAGCTCTTTCAGCCTCTTTGCTGCAAATTGTTGCTGGTCCGCGTACTGGTGATAATGAACCACGCCCAAGTCAATAAACACTAACTAGAATGGGTGGAGAGTCCCAAAATACGGCGAGGCACTAGATCTGTAAAGAACCGGTAAAGCAGCTCCAAAGAGACCAAGGCTTAGTGACACAAGAAGAACAACAGCTCAAGAACACTGCAGCAAGGTGCTTTTCTTCACTATCGCGCCGTTTTCAATTAAAATAACACCTCGGTTTCCATGGTTTTTAATTGAAATTTTTTTATGACCGCGAATAATTGCAGCCGCGAATATATCCCGACCTACGGTATGTACATGTACGTACAGCTATATGTACATGTATGTGTACATGTAAAGTTATTCTTCCTCTGCATGTGCATTGTACGTTTCTCTTTTCTCTCTCTCTCTCTCTCTCCCTCTCTCCCCCTCTCTCCCCCCACTCCCTCCCTTTCCCTCCCTTTCCCTCCCCTTCCTCCCTCTCTCCCTCCCTCCCTCCCTCCCTCCCTCCCTCTCCCTCTATCCCCCTCTCCCCCCGCTCTCTCTCTCCCCCTCTCCCTCCCTCCCTTACAGCTACAGGCCTGGTGGAGAGGTATGATGGTTAGGAAGGGACTGGGTCCTTTTAAGAAAGGGAGTAAGAAGAAAGGAAAGAAAGGGAAGAAGGGAGGAAAGAAAGGAGGCAAGAAAGGAAAGTCAAAGAAAAAAAAACAACAACAACAATAACAACAGGAATATAATAATTATTATTGTGTATTATTTTCAAATAATGATTATAATGTCCAGCTCAAAATCAGTACACCACTTTTATAGTCAGGCCGGTGGTACATCTTATAACATGGAGCAGGCAATGAGGGCATTCACTTTGTATTTTGATTGCATGTATACATGGGTAAATACGA